GGTGTTCAATTCAATTCAATTCAATTTTATTTATACAGCGCCAAAACACAACAGTCACCTCAAAGCATTTTATATTCCAAGGTAGACCCTACAATAAGTGTTGTGTTGACTTCTGTGCAAATAACAATTTGTCCATAACAAACACAATGTTTGAACATAAGGACGGACTGTGGCACCAGGACACCCTAGGCCGCAGGTCGTTGATTGACTTTGTAATCCTATGATCAGGGTGGCTGTAGCTCAGGCGGTAGAGCAGGTCATCTACTGATTGGAAGGTTGGTGGTTTGATTCCTGGCTGCCAAATATCCATGGGCAAGATACTAACCTTCATACGCCGATGGATTCATCAGTGTATGAAGGTGTGTGTGAATGTTAGTTAGAAAGCACTTAGAAAATGTGTTTGTGTGAATGCTTTACAAGTTGCGTAAAGTGCTCCGAGTCCTTGGAAGAGTAGAAAAGCGCTATATAAGAACCAGTCCATTTACCATCTTTGGCTATATGTTCTAGATACTCAGGTGAAGAGAGGCGCTGATCACCACCTGGTGAGTCGGATCAAGTGGTGGAGGAGATCTGTGGGGCACATGAATATATAGTGGTGTTGTGCTGGGAATGCCACATCTTCAACTCCCACATTGGGCAGAACTTTGACAGCATTCCAAAGGATGCTGGGGAGAAGAAGGAGGAGTCCTATTGGGATTGATTACCCTGTGGGACTTTGGATTTAATTTTTTTGATTGATTCGTACCAACGGGCCAAGTGGAAAAACTGGACCAGGTCTTTATCCTCTCAAGGATACTTGAGGGTGCATGGGAGTTTGCCCAACCAGCCTACATGTGTTTGTGGACCTGGAGAAGGCATTTGACTGTTTCTTAGTGTTGTGTGGGAGGTGCTTCAGGAATAAGCGGTGTCTGGCCTGTTACTATTAGCCATTCAGTACTTATACTTGCAATTGCGCGGTCCACATTGCCAGCAATAAATCAGACTTGTTCTCGGTGGGTGTTGGAGGGTGTTGCCAGAGCTGCAATTTTTCAGTGATTCTAGTCATAATTTTTATGAACAGAATTTCTAGGAATAGCCAAGTGGCAGAAGGCTTTACTTGTGTGGCCTCAGAATCTCATTCTGCTTTTGCAGATAATGTGGTTCTGCTGGATTCATCAGGTGGGGACCTCCAGCCTGCACCGGAGCGGTTTGCAGTTGAATGTGAAGCAGTGGAAATGAGAATCAGCACCGCCAAATCCGAGGCCATGGTCCTCAGCTGGAAAGGGTGGATTGCCCACTCTGCCCCAAGGAGAGAAGTATTGAAGTCTTGGGGAGAGGGGAAAATGAGATCGACAGATTGGTGCTGCGGCTGCAGTGACGTGGACGCTGTACCGGTTCGTAATGGTCTGCGTCCCTAACCCTCAACTATGGTCACAAGCTTTGATGGCGGAATAAGCTTTCTCCAAAGGGTGGCTGGCCTCTCCCTTAGAGAAAGGGTGAAGAGTCTGGCCATCCGGGAGGGACTCAGAGTAAAGCTGCTACACCTCCATATTGAAAGGCGGCAGTTCAGGTGGTAAGGGCAGCTGACAAGAATGCCCCCTGGGCGCCTCCTTGGTGAGGCAGAGGGGCAGACCCAGGAATCCTAAAGAGATTAGGAGGAGGTGGCTGGGGAGAGGGAGCTGCTGCCCCCCGCGACCCCGGATAAGCGCAAACAAACAAACAAAAAATATATGGATGCAAAGAGGTGTGGGAGTCTACCTTCATCCACTCATTTTCTTCCACTTATGTGGGACAGAGGCCTAAGCAGAGCAGCCTAGACCCCCCTCAATCCTGCTACCTCCTACAGCTTATTTGAGGGAACACCAAACCTGTCTTTACCACAACAGAGTGGCGGGCAGCATCCACAGCCTCATCCATTAATTTAAAAATATTCCATTAATCTGTGTTTTATTGTTTCTTAAATGTTCTTATTTTTCCACTGAAAATGACTTCTACCATTGCTGGATGTGATCATTAACAATA